TATATCATTTCTTCTGCACAGTTGTGGTTTTGCAAAGGAGGAACTTTAGTAAGGCAAATTAGATCCACTTAGTACACTTTTTTTAGCTCTTTCTCTTATCTTACTGCTTGATAGACAATTAAAACCCCAAACTTTGCTTGTTTGTGATGAATCTTACGGGTGAGACTAGCAGCTTGAGGTTGCACTAGCCGCCACTTGCATAACCCAAACCAGACTGTGTACAGTCTTTGGGTTAAACTTACATGGCTGTGTTGTTGTATTGATGTAGGACAAGGACACTCGTCTGTCGTCACTGCACAGAACAGCTGACCTTTCTTTTTCTGAAGGGATCGCCTGTCATCGAATTTCTTGCAGCAAAGAAAAGTGAACACAACAGGCAACACGCCTGCTGTCGAGGACTCAACAACTCAACTTCCAAAAAATCAATCAGAAGAAATATTTTTTGCGAACACAATGCTTTCACTGCAGACAGAAACACACATGGGGCTGAACATATACGGCATGGCAGAGAGAACAAAAGGAATGCCTTCAGGGTGACCCTTGACCTTTGGAATAGACTTTCTCCGGCTCGAGAGAGGGTGTTGACTTAGAAAATAAGGCACCATGAAGAGTCCTTCCTTCCCCCTCGAGCTGTTTCCTTCATGCCTTCCCCATTCCTCTCTTCAGCCGCTGTGTGTGTGTCTGATGATGACAGGGTCATTACACGTCTGAGCTGAGAGAAGCACACACACACACACACACACACGAACCACACACACACACAACACACACACACACACAGGGCTCTCAGGGATCGATACGAGACAGTTCTAAGGAGCCTCCTCACTATTTACCGATGTTGATAGTGTTGTGTCCAGGAGTGTGCATGAGGGTGTAGGTGTGTTACTGTGTGACTGTGTTGACTTCTAAGTATAGTAGCGACCTGGTGTGTGTGGAGTCAGACAGAGGTAATGATTAACCTTTCCAGACTGTGTTTCTGGCTGTGAGAGAAGCACCCAGTCTGTTGTCGCCCCCCCCCCCCCAGCCGCCCCTCCTCCGCTTCAACCAAGTCCAATTGTCTCAGCTAGCGTGGCGTCTACTCTTTAAGACCGTGGACCATTAAAATCCACAGGGGAGCTAGCAGTGTATGTCTATTTGCCGAATCTGTCCTCCCCGTGCTATTGTTTAAATATTTTGCATTGCATAGGGGGTTTATTTAATCACAGATATTTACAGTCCGCCCCCACCACCCCCTACGTTGCAGACCATAAGCTGATCATCCATTAAATACCTCAAAAACAAGAAGCAATATGCTGTTTTTGTTTGCACAGTGTTGTTAATGGCTAACATCCACATTAGCTCTCACCAGCTGCTTCTTGCACTTTCTTACATTGCAAAAAAAAATGCTTTTAACAAGGCCTGTTATCATCATCCATGATCACATGATGCGCCAGTATCTTTCAGTAATGCTCTATCAACATTTTAGCTCTCAGCTGCTTCATAGTGTAGCAGCAGGGAAAGTCTTTTTTGTTTAGTTCTTTTGAATGGGGGTTCATGTGTGGGCCCCATGGGACAAACCAGACTGGGACAGACCAGCAGCAGACAACTGACTGGAGCACAGCAGAAAGGGCCGGAGTGACAGATGGCCTCAGGCTGCCAGCTAGCCCGCTTATCTCCAGCAAGGAGAAGCCCGAGACACACGGGCTGAAAGGCTGCAGAGCAGACGAGCAGGTGGGGGCGGCAGACAGATAGACGGACTAATGCTTCGATAGGCAGACATCCAGAAGGCACACAGACAGATGTACAGACTGCATAGAGCTCTGTAAGTGTTCAGGGGCCAGAGCTGATGGAAACACACCGCTCCAAGGACAGACGGGCTCGGTGCAGACACTCAGTCGACACTGTCTGACACACACACACACACCTATGTGAGAAGCACCTGAAATAGTGTCAGACCGTAACATGAGGAGCGTGTCCAGCAAAAGCCTTGCACGCAAACACACGATGTGTTAAAAATTCAAATTCAGTTAAATGAGCCTTGCACTTGGAACAAGGTGTGTTGATACAGGGCCACTCACATTAGTGTGTGTGTTTATATTGTGTGTGTGTGTGTGTGGTTACGTGTTCAGCAGCATTACTCATGAGGTGTAAGCTCATCTGCTGTCAGGACAAGCTGTGAACACAGTCTTCACAAGGCTGCGGCCCACAGACGGAGGAGTCTGCCCGTCTCGCTTTCTCTCTGCTGACATACTGAACAGAAAAAGTTTTGTTTTGTTTACACAGTTTGAGCTGGACAGAATACTGTAACTATATTTATTCTCTCAAATTAGCTTTCAGTCGGTCTCTTATCTAACTGTTGCTGAGGAATGGGAAGAATTCACACTGCTGGACAAAAAAAAGCCCCAAAATCACTTGACTGCAGTGCTGGAAACTCGAGTACTGCACTCAATTCATTTAATCAGTTACAAGGTACTTAACCTTTACTTGAATATTTTCATTTTATGCTACTTTATAGTTCTAAAAATGTAGTGATAACCCTCAGATGATGTCATGGTGATTTCATAATGCATGGTTATTTCGGTTTGGTCTTGGAGAAAATTATAACAAAAAGGCCTCCGTTACAAACCTGGGGGGCATGAAGTCTGAAAGACATTTACTAGTCAGAGAGGATATAACAGAAGAGGCAATTGAGACATTTGCATTGTGGGAAGTGTAGGGTCCAGTGCTTTTTGGAGCTTCATCCACATTATCGAGCATATCTCGGTCAATTACTGACTTTTTCTTTTTTTTATCTGCCTCTGGCAAGACGGCGCTTGTAATGTAGTGTTTCTATGTTGCAACTTTTACATAAGAAAGGCGTCCGAATACTTCTTACGCCGCTGCTTTACTAGCTGACCCTTGTTTTTCTCCCTTCAACCCGTAGCTTTTATCCCTCCGTTGCTTTCCTCTTCTCTGTGGTTCTCACTTGCTACCACTCTGAGTTTCTAAGAGGAGAAGAGAGAGAGGATAGGCGACGAGGGAGGGGAAGCGGGGCAGTCAGTGTAGTCCTGAATAGCAGGGTGTTTTCAGGCTGCAATGACAGGCTCAGACAGGCAGCCGCTCTAATGACCTCTGACGCCAGGCCCTGTCTCTCTCAGCAATAACAAACACACACAGGGCCCCACAGGTGAGCTCCACCAGCAGGCCCTCTGTCAGCTGTTAAGAAAGTCCAACGCATCTTTTTCCTTATCAACTCCGGCTGTTCCTGTACGTACATGTAAAACAGACCCAAGAGCAAAGCTCGGTCAGGATCGGAGACTCTGTCTGACATCAGCCCAAGACACAAAGGACACTTTCTGTCTCTTATCTCAAAGATAAATGCTTTTTTTTCCTGCATTTAGTCTAAGGTAGATAGCTGGGTACTTAGTTTCCCCCAGCACCCCATGAGGACGGATTTACGATAAACTCCCTAAGGCTCAGCTCTGACCAACTTCAAAGAACACAGCCTCTGTTGTTTTATGGAAGGCATGCTTTAAGTTTTTCACCCCCCCCCCTTCGCTCCCCTCCTCTCAGTTTCTGTCTGTTTTCCCACTGTTGTCTTTTTCTTCCCTTTTTTCCCCCTCCTTTTTTCTGCGTCTAATGAAGGCTAATGACAGGCCGCGGTGAGTCCGCTCGGGCCGGCAGAGATCCTGCCGCATTAACGTCGCAGTTTGTCTCAGACGGGACCTTCCAAATTACCGGTTACATTCACAGCTACTGCCAGATGAAACGAGGAAGGGAGGGGGGCAGGCTGGGGTCGGATGGGAACTGAAATGGCTCTGAGAGGGGCTCTGTTAATTTTTTCCCTCACATATATTTCCCCACTTCAAGTTTACTTAACCCTTGAATGTGCCTTTCATCGGCGCTGGATTTGAGTGTTTGTGTGTGCGTGTGTGTGTGTGAGAGAGAGAGAAGAGAGGAAGTATAAATCATTGTTGAGCCGTTGATAGGAGTTTCAGCAATTAAGAACGACCCTAGAAGCACGAGAGGCGCTTAAAAAATTAGAAGAGGAAGCAAAGTTGCAAAAGTAACAGTCAAAATATGTGAAAAGCATTCCTTCTCTTCCCCACCCCGCCCCCTCTTTCTTTCCTCTCGCGCTCTCTCTGTCTCCCTCTATTTCCCTTGCGCCTGACTGGCTCCCACTTTTCTAGCTGGGAGTAGCTGGGAGCCAGATTTCTGTGGAATAGAGATATGAAGAGGGAGAGGGACGGCGCAGGAGGCGCACTAAAGGGAGACGGGAGGGGGATGGGAGGGGGGCACTTGGAAACTGGAGCATGGCCAATGCTACACTTCTTTTACGCTCAGGGGAAACTTTAGACTGGAGAGGCCTAGCTTGTCAACGATTCAGACACCAGGGTTTGAGAGTTAACGGACTGCTCTACTCCCCAGCTAAACACCATGTGCTTCGCTGTAGACAGGGAATGGTTTATGTGTTTATGTGAAAGTCACTCGCTGTTGCTCAGTTACGGGGGCCTCGTATATTTGAGCATGAATTCAAAGAGAGTTTTCTAATTTCCTCCAGCAGGGCGAAGCGCATTGCTGTAGAGAGAGCTGATCAGGGCAGTCAGTTGACGTCACTACATTGTTGGCTACGCCGCTACAAAAATACAGCGAGCCAGACAGAAGATAAGCATTTAATGCCTAGACAAATATTGTACTGCGTGTGGACACTTGCCTGCCAGTGTCTCTGAGTTGCTTCTCTTGTCTGAGGTCCAGGAATTCCAACATGGTTTTCCTGTATGGCAGAAATTGAGGATGACAGTTTAGTTTTGGCTCTTGACTAAAGCAAATTCTCTATTTCCCAAAACAGGGGTGAGGAAGACACACAGAAGTAGCGATGTTTGGTGTAGCCTTTGCTTCTGCACTCATCTTTTCCCCCTCTTCTTTCTTTTACTTTATTAATCTTTGCATTTGACTGTCTAATATTTTTCTGTCATGACGTCTTTACTTTGCACCTTCCCATAGGTCTAACCGTCTCCTTCTCTCTCTGTTTCCCTCTTCAGATTCCCTGGCATTGCAGGAGTCTGGCGATCGGGCCCATTGGTGCGTGGTGGCATACTGGGAGGAGAAGACACGCGTCGGGCGCCTCTACTCAGTCCAGGAGCCCTCTCTGGACATCTTCTATGATCTACCTCAGGGGAACGGCTTCTGCCTGGGCCAGCTCTGCTCTGACAACAAGTCCCAGCTGGTGCAGATGGTGCGGGCCAAGATTGGCTATGGCATCCAGCTGACGCGTGAGCCAGACGGGGTGTGGGTCTACAACCGCAGCTGCTACCCCATCTTCATTAAGTCGGCCACACTGGACAACCCTGACTCACGCACGCTGCTGGTGCACAAGGTGTTCCCTGGTTTCTCCATCAAAGCTTTTGACTATGACAAGGCCGGCAGCCTGCAGAGGCCGAACGACCACGAGTTCACGCAGCAGCCTCGCACGGGCTTCACGGTGCAAATAAGCTTTGTGAAAGGTTGGGGACAGTGCTACACCAGACAATTCATCAGTAGCTGCCCATGCTGGTTGGAAGTTATCTTCAACACGCGATAGCAGCAGCCTTTCTCTTCTTCACCCTCCTGGCCTCTTCTGCCCCCCTCACAAACAGACTACACCCACTTTCCTTTTTTGTTCCAGAGGTTCAAACAGAGAAAAAAAAGAACGTTTTAAAAGAAGAAGAAGAAAGTATACGATTCTGACGGACTTTGTTTAATAAATGACTAAGATTTAATTAAATAAAATAAGAAGCGAAAAATGTATTTTATGTTATATATAAATATATTATTAATTGTAAATATGAAGACGTTTTATATGCATCATTATTTATGTATTGTGCAATGTGTTGATGAGAAAAAGAAAATAAGATGCACTTTGCTTAATATAAATGCAAAACAAAGAAATGCCAAAATAAAAATAAAAATACAAATAACATTTCTTGTCCAGTCTATTGATTAATCTTGGGGTTTCCAATCCAAATTTGATTATTTGTATTGATGCATGTTTTTTTAATTTAGTTCTGGTGACACTGGGTTTTCATTATTACCAAAGTCAGCGCTGGCTTAACTTTGTGCCACTGAAGGACTTTGATGTCGTTGATGTTGTGGATCGTGAAAGCATTTCCCTTTGAGACAAAATGAGTCAGACTGTGACAGAGCCATAACTCACTGTCCCCGTTCTTACAGCCTCATTACGCCTTTTAAAATTGTCTGTTTTTTTGGAGTTATTTCGGGATGAATGTCCCTCTTCCTCTCTGTCATTAACTGATGACATCACAGCCAGGAAGCAGTAATGACAAATTTCAGGAACCAATAAAGTCAACAGAGGGCCTGGCTTCCTGAAGGAGCCTCTTTATTGTAATGGCTGATAAAACAAAGTAATGTAAGGTATCAAACAATCACACAAAGAATCCAGCGCCACACCTGAGGAAATGAACACATACTGGAAAATGTACTGGAAGATTACAACTTCATTTAGATCTGTTAGACATCAGATCGGAGGAATGGCATGAGTATGTGATTAGAAGCAATGGCCTAATTATGACCTATTGTATTTCTAAAAACTAGACAAAACAAAATAGATTTCCTTCTGACAAAACCTTTCGACTGTATGTGTGTGCACGCGTGCGTGTGTCTGTCTGGGCTTCGTCCTGTTGCTAGTCAGATGGGTGTCTGTGAAGAGGATTACAACTGTAAGCCTGCTTTACCCACACACACTGTCTCAAAGACCTACATTCACAAGACCCACTTTCCACGCCATCCAACCCCCATCCTCCACTCTGTTTAATGGCGCTTTGAAAAAACCTTGAATTTTATTAAGAATAGGAGAGACAAAACAACATAATTAGTGACAGTGACTCAGTGGTGGAGGCAGGACTAAAATGAAGCATGTATGCGTACTTTCTCCGGGTCCCTAACCATTTTTTTTTATTAAAGAGTTGATAAGAATGGCAGAAAACCTTTAGAAAAGTCCTTGTCCTTGAAATAAAAACTTCCCAGAACTACTCTTGTTGTTTATTGCTTGTATATATAAGTAATCGCCAAATTACTGGAAAAAGACACTATGTTACACTTAAATATTTGTATGGTATTAGCTGACACATATTAAATTATTCACACTAAGAATAATAAACAGAAATCCACACAGATTAATATGGCAGCCAATATTTGTGGTAGACCCCCTGAGTAAACGCTTGTCCAAGGACACATTTATATTCTTTCCCTTCTGTTTTATTAATGATTGTGCTCAGCAGATACATTACTGTGTGTATCTTAGTGTTTACTATAAAATCCAGGAAAAAAAAAACTTTATCAACAAAGAAGATAAAGACTATTAAAATAAAGCTCACCAGAGGGGTTGGGCCACATGGTGGGACCCTGTTCCTTGACATCATGCACTTTAAACTCATGGGTGTCTGCATGCCCTCACAACAATAATCCCTAACCCTGCTAATACAACTAAAGCGTCTCGAAGCTTTGTGTGTGTGTGTGTGTGTACGCGCGCGCATGTGTGTGAGACAGAGCGAGGAATGGCCTTATATCCATGACTTCTCTCAGACAGGGTGACCCTGATTCTGCCCAGCAATAATTCCATTAAAACTATTATAGATTTCACCAGCATCTCTAGCATGTACATGTAATTAGACATGAAAGCTGTTTTTGTGAGCAGCTCCTAAGAAAAACACTTGAGTATTTCATAAACTTGTTCCAGTATTACTTGACTCAAAATTTTTAAATTTGACTACTTTTAAGAAAGCATATGTATAAAGGTGCTAGCATTTTTGGCTATGTAAAGATGGTATTTAAATAGATTTGCAGTATTTCTGAAATCTTGGCTATAAACATTATTGTACCCCCTTAAATGCAATAGTATTTAATCCCAGAAACAAAGGCTGGCTTATTATTTAAACTGACTATCCCTGTCATTCAATAAAAGGGCATAATAATATTATTAACAGGCACTTACTTAGTTGTGGTGTCTTTAAATTGGTGAAACAGCGCCCCTCTTGATTGTAACAGCTGGTACATGTTGTTCAGTCTGTGTGGTGGAAAAGGGTATTACACTCTGATAATTGGAGTCTACGGATGTGAAGCAACCAGGTGAAGTTGGCATCCTTTGATTAGAAAATCTAGATGTCAACTATTAAACAATCAGATGCGGTCAGAACTACAATGGACAGATCTCTGGGAAATAAACTGCGACATTATGTTTGAAACAGCCGTTTTTAGGCCTCAAACCAGAACTAATTTTAGGGTTAAGCAACATTTTAAATGTAGTTAACAGTTCGCTAGTTTTTCTGTGTGGATATGACAACCTACAGTGAGATAACAAAGGAGAAAAAAAAGATGGGAATCTCTCAGCAACCAAACAAAATGAATCACATGCAGCAAGTGCAATGGGACACGACTATCACCTGGATATTGACCACTTAACCTGCACGAATGGCATCAAGATCAAGTAACGTGAGTCCATACTCTCTGTCTCTCTGTCTCTCTCTCTCTCTCTGTCTCTCTGTCTCTGTCTCTTCTTGCTGCTGGCTTTGTGATGCTTAAATGTGCTATGTATGTGGTGGTTTGGTTTAATGCACTGCGGTTTGTGTTGCTGTGACAGACACAATATGAGCAGGGAGTCTGGATTTATTGGCTGTTCAGTCACCTGTTGGCTGTGTGTGGCTGTTTGTAGTCAGTACTGACTGACCGAGATGGTGGATGCATGTGAGATGTCTTTTATATTACAAAAGTAGCTTGGTTAAGTAACTAGAATGATGTATAGAGTCACAGACTTGTTAAATCTAAATGTTGTGAACTTTATTTAGCTACAGTGTTTGTTTGTTGATATGAGGCATCAGCAGTGTGAATGGACAAGGGTAGATAACCAAATGTATGTGGATGTTTTACAGTATTTACAATCTTTGAAGTATGAAATCCTCTCTTTGTGTTGCCTCTTTGAAAGGGTAATCTAGAGCTAAAAAGACTGTGGAAGAACCAACATGATTTGACCGACTCAGGTTGCTGAAGACAGTATGGAAAGGATCCCAGTTACCAGTAACTCTTTCGATATCCATATGAGCATGTGACTATATACAATGAACCTGAATGTTTTCAAACCTATCCTTTTACATTAAATTTACTGCATATTAAGTTTGACAAAAATGCCACGTTTGTTTCACCATCTTATTCCACAATGTAATGAAATGCTATGCATGCTGGACAGTCCTTTTGTAAGAAACCAACATGTGGTTTGTCTGTGGTTAACACACCCATGCAGTCTATAGCAGTGTGTTTTTATGTATATTTATATGTGTGCGTACCGACCGGGGGGGTTGGGAGAATGAACAGCATTGTGCTCTGTAGGTGGGGCCTTTATAAGCCTGTCTACATGGTTTTGTGTGTGAATGTGCCATGACCTTTTCACATCAGGAATTGTTTTTTTCTAATTAGAATGTCATCTGACATTGTATCTGATGTAAACATCCTCTAGTATGTTTAAATAATGTGTTGTAGATGTGTCTGGAATGTGAGCGATCTTAAACTGCATTATTGTTTGAGACATCCTATATATGCAGTATATATAGATCAAAGGATGCTGTATGCTTTGTCCTTGCATTTGCATGCTGTGTGTCATATATTATTTGTCTGTGCAGGACTGTGTGGACATATACATGAGCGCACACACACACAGAAAGTCCTCGTCTGTGCCGGGAGACACAAAGCCAGACCCCCCCATCCCCCTCTTCCTCTTCCCTGGGGGGGAGATAAGACGGCCTGTCTATCTGGCTGCTCCCAGCAGGAGGGGGGCTGGGGCTCGGATTGTAGGTTATGGAGGTGATGGGGTGGGGACAGTCTAGCCGTGTTTACAAGCGGGATGTGTCGGTTGGGGGTTTAAAGAAGGGGACAGCCACTTCTGGCATTCTTATGCTTATCCCCCCCCCCGAATGGCCTGAAGTCATGTTTTTCTTAACCTCAATGAATCACAGGGAAGAAAAAAAATCACACTGCAACACAATATGCACACATACTCTGGCTGAAATGAATGTGCAAGCATAAAATGGGTATGTTAGACTGTCTTTGATCTCTTCTACAAATAAGAGGCTCCCTTATTAGTGTTATTATTTATAGGTCCAGTCAATACTACAATGTGGTTAATTAAAAGATTTAGATGTCATATTAACCACTGTAACCAAAATTAGCTGACAGTAGCAAGAATACAGCAAGCTGATCGTCATTAGAAAAAATGTTCAAGTCCTGCATTTTCCATGTGTTTTTGAGACAATATTGTTGTGCCATCACACATGTTTGCACAGAAAAACGTGGAATGAAGAAAGGTTTTGAAGCCTGAACTTTCTTGTTGCATTTGGCAATTTATTTTAGCAGGCAGGTTAAGTTCATCACCATTTCTAAAAAGTTTTATCGGTGGTAGTGCAGATCCTCTATTGGTGTTATGTTGATGCACTTGGTGCAAAAAGAGACAATGCTGTAAATAACAAGTAACCGGCCCACTTCCCAGTATGTCAGTGTGCAGCCTTTTGACCAGAGTAGAATATTATGCATTATTGGGTTCAAGAAGAAATAGTAATGTTCTTTCTTTACCACTGTGTGACCACCATGTTTTTAGTGCAATTAACTAAAAACAACATTGTTGTTGTCATTTTAAACAGGGCAATAGCTCAGATTTACATTCAGATAGGGCTGCATTTAACGATTGCTTATCGATCAATCTGTTGATCATTTTCTCTATGACTTGTTGGGTCTATAAAAT